ACAGAAGGCATCAAAATGGCTTTAATTTACAAAACACTTGTCTGATGACAGAAGGCATCAAAATGGCTTTAAAGAACACTTGTCAGGTTAAGAAGGCATCTAAATGGCTTTACAGAACACTTGTCAGGCTGACAGAAGGCATCAAAATGGATTTATGATGACAGAAGGCATCAAAACGGCCTAACAGAACACTTATCTGACAACAGAAGACTTGTCTGATGAGAGAAGACATCAAAATGGCTTAACAGAACACTTGTCAGGCTGACAGAAGGCATCAAAATTGCTTTAATTTACAAAACAATTGTCTGATGACAGAAGGCATCAAAACGGCTTTACAGAACACTTGTCTGACAACAGAAGACTTGTCTGATGACAGAAGACATTGAAATGGCTTTACAGAACACTTGTCTGTTAACAGAAGTCATCAAAACGGCTTTACAGAACACTTGTCTGACAACAGAAGACTTGTCTGATGAAAGAAGACATCAAAATGGCTTTACAGAACACTTGTCAGGCTAACAGAAGGCATCAAAATGGCTTTAATTTACTAAACACTTGTCTGATGACAGAAGGCATCAAAATGGCTTTAATTTACAAAACACTTCTCTGATGACAGAAGGCATCAAAATGGCTTTAATTTACAAAACACTTGTCTGATGACAGGAGGCATCAAAATGGCTTTAAAGAACACTTGTCAGGTTAAGAAGGCATCTAAATGGCTTTACAGAACACTTGTCAGGCTGACAGAAGGCATCAAAATGGATTTATGATGACAGAAGGCATCAAAACGGCTTTAATTTACATAACACTTGTCTTATAACAGAACACTTGTCTGATGACTGAAGACTTGTCTGATAACAAAAGGCATCAAAACAGCTTTAATTTACATAACACTTGTCTGATGACAGAAGGCATCAAAAGGGCTTTAATTTACATAACACTTGTATGAGGACAGAAGGCATCAAAATGGCTTTAATTTACAGAATACTTGTCTGATGAAAAAAGGCATCAAAACGGCTTTAATTTACAGAACACTTGTTCAGTAACTTGTTTAGTGTTTTGTAGTCACCCGCTGCCTGAGTGATAGCGTTGGGAGATTAGTAACAATTGTAGTCCCCTGCGGCCTGAGTGATAGCTTTGGGAGATTAGTAACAATTGTAGTCACCCGCTGCCTGAGTGATAGCGTTGGGAGATTAGTAACAATTGTAGTCCCCTGCGGCCTGAGTGATAGCGTTGGGAGATTAGTAACAATTGTAGTCACCCACTGCCTGAGTGATAGCGTTGGGAGATTAGTAACAATTGTAGTCCCCTGCGGCCTGAGTGATAGCTTTGGGAGAATAGTAACAATTGTAGTTGCCCGCTGCCTGAGTGATAGCGTTGGGAGATTAGTAACAATTGTGGTCGCCCGCTGCCTGAGTGATAGCTTTGGGAGAATAGTAACAATTGTAGTCACCTGCTGCCTGAGTGATAGCGTTGGGAGATTAGTAACAATTGTAGTCCCCTGCTGCCTGAGTGATAGCGTTGGGAGATTAGTAACAATTGTAGTCCCCTGCGGCCTGAGTGATAGCGTTGGGAGATTAGTAACAATTGTAGTCACCCGCTGCCTGAGTGATAGCGTTGGGAGATTAGTAACAATTGTAGTCCCCTGCGGCCTGAGTGATAGCGTTGGGAGATTAGTAACAATTGTAGTCCCCTGCGGCCTGAGTGATAGCATTGGGAGATTAGTAACAATTGTAGTCACCCGCTGCCTGAGTGATAGCGTTGGGAGATTAGTAACAATTGTAGTCCCCTGCTGCCTGAGTGATAGCGTTGGGAGATTAGTAACAATTGTAGTCACCCACTGCCTGAGTGATAGCGTTGGGAGATTAGTAACAATTGTAGTCCCCTGCGGCCTGAGTGATAGCTTTGGGAGAATAGTAACAATTGTAGTTGCCCACTGCCTGAGTGATAGCGTTGGGAGATTAGTAACAATTGTGGTCGCCCGCTGCCTGAGTGATAGCTTTGGGAGAATAGTAACAATTGTAGTCACCTGCTGCCTGAGTGATAGCGTTGGGAGATTAGTAACAATTGTAGTCCCCTGCGGCCTGAGTGATAGTGTTGGGAGATTAATAACAATTGTGGTCGCCCGCTGCCTGAGTGATAGCGTTGGGAGATTAGTAACAATTGTAGTTGCCCACTGCCTGAGTGATAGCGTTGGGAGATTAGTAACAATTGTAGTCCCCTGCGGCCTGAGTGATAGCGTTGGGAGATTAGTAACAATTGTAGTCGCCCACTGCCTGAATGATAGCGTTGGGAGATTAGTAACAATTGTAGTTGTAATTGTGGTTTCCTATGTAATTTCTCCAACTGTTGTAGTGATGACTTTGAGACTTTTCATAAGATTTAAAATCCAAATATTTACAGCAAATGTTTCAACTATGTCTGGTTCTCCTTCCTCTGGCTTTCATATCTTCGTTCCTGCTTATGTCAACTCTCGTCTCTCCGGGGCTCCTCCATGGCCTCCTGCATGGGTCAAACTATGTAGTAAGATCATTTAACAGATTTTAATCCACCAAGTCAATTATATAAATACTTCAAATGTGTTCCTATTTCAGGAACCAAAGGTCAAGGTCATCTTCACTATTTATAGAAATTTGTCGAAAAAAGTTTCTTATTTACTTGAAAGCTAGAGCGTTCATGTCTTACAATTTTTTCTTTTATTGTGAGAAACCTTATTATTTCCTAATGTAGATTCTGCGGTTAATTTTTTGCATGCTCATCTTTTATTAGGCTAATGCAGGTTACGTACGAGGAGACATTCTTTCCAAACAAGGAAATGGAGTAACGTTTAAGGAAGTAGCGGGATTGAAGGAGGCAAAGTATGAAGTCATGGAGTTTGTTGACTACCTGAAGAGCTCAGAAAATGTTAGAGTAAGTCAGAAGTGTGGTGAACCCATAACACCTTAACAGTCCAAATAGATAGAAGAAATAGGTACTTTTAGTTATAATAAGGATAAAATTAAGAAAAACAGCAGATTGTATACAGTGAGTCAGATAAAAGCTCTAAAAGTATTGTTATGCATGACATACACTCGGGTTTAGTGCTGAATACAAAAATACTAATATTTTTCACATTTATATGAAATAAATTTTGATATTAAAAAATATAATTTTCTTAACTGATCATAGGCTAATGAACCACTATACATGATAAATATCTACGTCTTTCATAGAAACTTGGCGGGAAGCATCCCCGTGGAGTGCTGCTCCTGGGGCCCCCTGGCTGTGGGAAAACCCTTCTGGCTAAGGCAGTGGCTACAGAGGCTGGCGTTCCCTTCTTTGCTTTGGCAGGCTCACAGTTTGTGGAAATGTTAGGAGGTAAGTTCTAGTCGGCAACAAATATTGATTACATTAAAACAAAATTCATTCCAGTAACAAAAAAAATATGTCATGCATGTGGCATACATATTGACTCCCAGAAAAGCTATGACACAGAACCAGATGGAGTGGAGAATGCTGTAAACACTGAACTTGTATTTTAGGGGGAGAATGCTGTAAACACTGGACTTGTATTTTAGGTGCAGAATGCTGTTTACACTGGACTTGTATTTTAGGAGGAGAATGCTGTAAACACTGGACTTGTATTTTAGGGGGAGAATGCTGTAAACACTGGACTTGTATTTTAGGTGGAGAATGCTGTAACCACTGGACTTGTAATTTAAGTGGAGAATGCTGTAAACACTGGACTTGTATTTTAGGTGGAGAACACTGTAAACACTGGACTTGTCAAAAAGTCTGTCTCACCTAACATATATATATAAATTGATTGATATCACAATTTCAATTGAATTCCAAAACTTATTTAATCATTATCTTGAAATAGGGAAGCCTTTTTCATCTGATGATGGGCTATTCAAGTTAACCTGTGTCCATGTTCAGTGGTCCGTCCTTAAAGAATTCTTGTTATCGATATTTCTTTGGAAGTACCAGAGAGATCTTTCTCAAATTTTATTTGTAGGTTCCCTTTGGTCCCTATTTGTGCCTATTCACTTTTGAGACTGATCCGATAAATAAAATGGCCGACAGGCAGCCATTTTGGATTATGACAGTGAAAGTTTGTTACGGCTATTTCTCAGGAAGTACTGGAGGGATCTTTCTCAAGTTTGTTATGTAGGTTCCCCTTGGTCTGTAGTTGTGTAGGAACAGAATGGCCGACAGGCAGACATCTTAGATTTTTACAGTGACGGTTTGTTATCGCTATTTCTCAGGAAGAACTGGAGGGATCTTTCTCAAGTTTAATATGCAGGCTCCCCTTGGTGCCTGGTTGTGCAGGTTTACTTTTGAGACTGATCAGATAAACAAAATGGCGGACAGGCAGCCATCTTGAATTTTGATAGTGAAGGTTTGTAATAGCTATTTCTCTATAAGGACTGGAGAGATCTTTCTCAAATTTGACATGTAGGTTCCTCTTGGTATGTATTTGTGCATGTTTTCTTATGAGACTGATCAGATAAACAAATCTTTGATTTTGACAGTTAAGGTTTGTTAGTGCTATTTCCCAGGAAGTACTGGAGAGTTCTTTCTCGTATTTTATATGTAGGTTCCCCACTGTCCTTTATTGTTTATCTTTGCTTTTGAAACTGATCAGATAAACAAAATGGCCGATTGGCGGCCATCTTCGATTTTTGACATTTAGTGCATTTTTCTCAGGAATAACTTGAGGGATCTTTCTCAAATTTGATATGTTGATTCCCTTGATCCCTCGTTGTGCATGTTATATTTCGAGACTGATCATAAAACAAAATGCCTGAAGGAAGAACTAAACAGATCTTTCTCATATTGCAATGATCGATTCTATTTCTTTCACATTAAGTACTGTACTAGTAAATGTATGAAATGACTCACTTTGAAGGTTGTCTTTTATACACAGCAGTATTAGGTTTAAATCAAAAGTTACCTCAAGGTGCATTTACTGTTATCATGACTCGATCAAACAGATTAGAGAAAAGGAGAGAAAAGATTGAACTGACAAAGAACTAATGAAGATGCATGTTCAATGGTGGGCGTCAAGAACGTTTTTTCTCTGTATCATGTTTAACATATTCTGTGCCTTTCTTGTGTCTTAGGGCTTGGTGCGTCCAGAATGAGAAATCTTTTCAAAGAAGCACGTCAACAAGCTCCCTGCATTATCTATGTAGATGAGATAGATGCCATAGGAAAAAAACGGAAAGGGTGAGTTCCCCTAGCCCAGCTTTAGTAACCTTCTCATTCAATGTTCTGTCCCTGCAGGAGATTCACTCCCCAAAACTTACCATCAAAGTTTGTAGGATCATATGATAAAACGAGAGACATTTTGAAGCTATACTAAATATACATTCGAATCTGCTCAAGCGACCATCTGTATTAAAAGACTATCTGTTTTATGTGACCACTGTTCATACCTCCCGATTGTGTCTAACACGACCAGCGACCACCCAAAACTGACTTCAAAATTACGTTAAATGACGACATTTGATACATTAGAGCGACCATGTTTGACGAAAATATACCAAACGGTCGTTGAAATAGTTGTGCAACTCCAAATTTGCGACCGTCACCACATTTGACGAAGGGCTACGTACTTTACAATCTTTTCACCAAGTTCAGTGAACAGATTTGACGAAACTAATTTCCAAACTTACAATATATTCATTGATGTGCTGGAACAAATAAAAGGTCATTTTTCTAACTGCCAATATTGTTGCTTTAGCAGTGGAAATACAGACTGGTATTTAATGCAGTTGAGCAAAACCATTGATTGCACAAGTGTCCTGCTAGGCAATGTAACCTTTAACCCTACGATATCCTCCATCTGATTGGAGGAAGTACTTACATGCAATGTAACCTTTAACCCTATTATATCCTCCATTTGATTGGAGGAAGTACTTACATGCAATTTAACCTTTAACCCTACGATATCCTCCATCTGATTGGAGGAAGTACATACATGTAATGTAACCTTTAAGCCTATGATATCCTCCATCTGATTGGATGAAGTACGTACATGCAATGTAACCTTTAAGCCTATGATATCTTCCATCTTGTTGGAGGAAGTACGTACATGCAATGTAACCTTTGAGCCTATGATATCCTCCATCTGATTGGATGAAGCATGTACATGTAATGTAACCTTTAAGCCTATGATATCCTCCATCTGATTGGATGAAGTATGTACTTGTACACTGGCAGGTTTTCATTCTTGAAATCGAGTCCATTTAGAGATGTTCACGACAGCACTCTCGTACAAAATTAACATCCAATATCAGCGCAACTAAACATGTTTATGTTAGCACACATATCATTTCTATTTCCTCATCAATACTTCAAGCCTTTAATAACATCCCTGAACTTCGAATTCTCAACGCCAAAGTACTAACAACAATAACACTGGTCCGTTTTTCGGCAAAATGCCGTCGGCTTTATTTAAGGTCAATTTTTTACTGGATTCTCTTTCCAGTTTTCATCTTAAATAAAGGAAAAATATACGTGGACCCATCTGTTGGACCACTACAGGAACCGCCATCATTTCAACAATATCTTTCGTAACAAGTTAGCTTTAATCATGGTAATTACCGAAATCACAGTCGTGTAAGTTGAGAACTTTAAGAAGTCTCCATCGATCGTTTGTTCTGAGTGAAATGACAATTCTTCTCAAACACACTTAATTTTTTGTTTACTGTAATAAGTATCACTCGACTATTGTTTAGTTATTCACCTGATCTGTTGAACAATATTGTTTTAAACTACCTGTATATACACGTGTAAATTTGGGCTGGGGTGGTGGTCTGTTAACAGTTGTCTGAATAAGACATTAAAAGACAGGTTTTTAGCTCACCTGGCCTGAAGGTAAAGGGAATTTAATATTTATAAATGAAAGATGTCTTTCCCACCAAAACAGATTTATATGTAGTTCTTCTTGCAACTTTGTTTCTTGCACTCCTTTGATAAACCTGTATGGTACTCAGCAGGTTTTAAATTGAAAAATAAAATACCAGGTGAGCTATTAAGGCCCCTGGCCCTCTTGNTAAAATACCAGGTGAGCTATTAAGGCCCCTGGGCCTCTTGTTTTTGAACAAGCCAGAGACTGTGGGTTGTGATATAAAGCTAGAGGCTGAGGGTTGTGATATATAAAGCCAGCAGCATCCTGGGATAAAGGCCTTCCACAGTTGTTCAGATGAATCACTTCTCACTACTTTGAAGGCTACAGGAGTCAAATATGTAAAAACTTCATAACCAGCGGGGTCGTATTTGACAAGTAGCTTGCTTAGAGTGCATTCAAGCTTCAACAAATAAATGATCTTGAACCTCTTTCAAGATCAGAAGGTTTGGATGTGTTGAAAACATGCAAAGAAATTCTTCTGAATAACCTATAAGGCTAGAGTAATGGTATTTGGCAAGTAGCATTGTTGGTTTGCAGTATGAGAGTATCTTGACATGATTGCTTAAATATCCAGATGTGTGATACAGGCCCGCTGGACCTCTTGTACAAATCAAAGATTCCAAATAATTTGGCAAGGAACGTTTTTGTTCAGTATATAGTTATGTGAAAAGATTTTGTATGCTGGAACTTTGATTGATATCAAGCCATTGCTATTTGGATGTGATAAAGTATGCCAGCATCACCCACAGGAGGTGTGCAGTGCACTGGAATTAGGTCACTGCAACCTTCACCTCAAGGTCAAAGGTCAAATAAGTGCAACATTTTCAGTAAATTCTTGTCAGTACAGCCAGTACATTTTGAACTGTTGAAGATATCTTAATCAAACTTGAAGTATACCTGCATCACTCACAGAAGGTGCGCAGTGCACTGAAATTAAGTCTCGTGCTTCACTATATACAGAGTTTTGGCCCTTTGTTTATTTTGTATACCAAAGTTTGTCCACGGCATAACTTCCATGTTATTTCGCCTATGTTGACCAAACTTGCTATAGTTATGTATCTTGGGAAGTAGGAGTGTCGCACTCTAAAATTAGGTCATGTGTCTCACTATATAAAGAGATATAGACCTTTGGTAATTTTTTATACCGAAGTGTGTCTCTTTAGTACCATAGGTTTAACCAATTTAACTAAAACTGTTAAGACAATTTAACATGAATAATTTTAAAGTTTAATGGTTTAGAGTTTACACACCTTAATCTTGATGTAACCTTTCTATTCTTCCAAATATTCATATTGGCTCATAAGGGGAGACATGATTTTGTTCACAAAAACAACTTTCTAGTCTGTTGCTATATTACAGGAGTGCGGCTGACTCTGAAGAAGAACACACACTGAACCAGCTACTAGTGGAGCTTGATGGTATGGGAACCACTGAAGGGATCATTATGATCGCCTCAACCAACCGCTCTGATGTCTTAGACAAGGTAGAAGTTGGACCTTACTGTGTGAACATTGTTCTACTGTTGACATGCTAATAGAATCATCACGTGGTGCTGTAGAGACAAACAGTTGACATGTTTATAGAACCATCACATGATGCTGTAGAGACAAACTGTTGACATGCTTATAGAACCATCACATGGTGCTGTAGAGACAAACTGTTGACATGCTTATAGAACCATCACGTGGTGCTGTAGAGACAAACTGTTGACATGCTTATAGAACCATCACGTGGTGCTGTAGAGACAAACTGTTGACATGCTTATAGAACCATCACGTGGTGCTGTAGAGACAAACTGTTGACATGCTTATAGAACCATCACGTGGTGCTGTAGAGACAAACTGTTGACATGCTTATAGAACCATCACATGGTGCTGTAGAGACAAACTGTTGACATGCTTATAGAACCATCACATGGTGCTGTAGAGACAAACTGTTGACATGCTTATAGAACCATCACGTGGTGCTGTAGAGACAAACTGTTGACATGCTTATAGAACCATCACGTGGTGCTGTAGAGACAAACTGTTGACATGCTTATAGAACCATCACGTGGTGCTGTAGAGACAAACTGTTGACATGCTTATAGAACCATCACGTGGTGCTGTAGAGACAAACTGTTGACATGCTTATAGAACCATCACGTGGTGCTGTAGAGACAAACTGTTGACATGCTTATAGAACCATCATGTGGTGCTGTAGAGACAAACTGTTGACATGCTTATAGAACCATCACATGGTGCTGTAGAGACAAACTGTTGACATGCTTATAGAACCATCATGTGGTGCTGTAGAGACAAACTGTTGACATGCTTATAGAACCATCACATGGTGCTGTAGAGACAAACTGTTGACATGCTTATAGAACCATCATGTGGTGCTGTAGAGACAAACTGTTGACATGCTTATAGAACCATCACATGGTGCTGTAGAGACAAACTGTTGACATGCTTATAGAACCATCATGTGGTGCTGTAGAGACAAACTGTTGACATGCTTATAGAACCATCACATGGTGCTGTAGAGACAAACTGTTGACATGCTTATAGAACCATCATGTGGTGCTGTAGAGACAAACTGTTGACATGCTTATAGAACCATCACATGGTGCTGTAGAGACAAACTGTTGACATGCTTATAGAACCATCATGTGGTGCTGTAGAGACAAACTGTTGACATGCTTATAGAACCATCACATGGTGCTGTAGAGACAAACTGTTGACATGCTTATAGAACCATCATGTGGTGCTGTAGAGACAAACTGTTGACATGCTTATAGAACCATCACATGGTGCTGTAGAGACAAAGCACCAAACTAATAATGATGATGATTTAGAGTGTAACCTAAGGGACTATAACCTATATAGAATATAAAACATTATGCCATACTGTGTCGTCCATCGTCTGTCCGTCATCCTTACGTCAACAATTTCTTCAAACAATATTTTCTTTCTAACCGCTGATTTTAATTCAACTAAATTTGACTGGAACCATGGAGGCTCAGGGGCGAGGCCAAAAGGCGGCAATTTGGCTACTTTGCTATAAATGACTTCTTCTCTAGAACTATGCACTGGATATCAATCATATTTTGTTGGAAGCATCCCTAGGTGGTGGGGATTAACAACTATACAATTGGACAGGCTGACCCCCCGAGCTAAGTGGTGGGGCCAAAAAATCGTTTATAACTTGAAAATGGTTGAGATACCCACCCTATAACCACATAATTATACAATTGCTGAGTAAAAAGAGATGAATGCACATATGCTTCCAGGATGGCTCTGGGATCTGGCGCACCCTTGGAGACATAGTCCCTGGGTCATAACTTTGAAACAGTTGAGATCCCCACCCAAAACCTAAATATACAATTGCTAGGCAGAAAGATACAAACACAATCATGATATTAATATTGACCCTTGGGTCTGGCCACAACCCTAGGGACCTAGTTTCTGAGTCACAACTTGGAAACAGTTGAGATCCCCACCCTAAAACTATATAAACACTTGCTGAATATAAAGAGACGAATGCACATATGCTACGGGGTCTGCCCCACCCTTGGAGGCTTAACCCCTTGGTCATAACTTGGAAATGGTTGAGATCCCCACCCCAAAACTACATATACAACTGTTTGGCATAAAGAGATGAATGCAGTCATGATATTAGAATAGACCCTGGTGTCTGACCGAACCCCTAGGGACCTAGTTCCTGAGTCACAACTTGGAAACAGTTAAGATCTCCACCCTGTAACCGTACATACAATTGCTGGGCATGAAAAATCAAATACAGATATGCTACAAGGATTGGCCTTTGGGTCTGGCCCTATCCCTGGGATCTTATTTGGAGAACATTTTGCAATGATTGCTTAGATATCCAAGTGGGCGATACAGGCCCTGTGGGCCTCTTGTTACTCTTAAGGTATATGAACTGCCACAACCACATGCATGCTATTATTGATTGTAGTTATAAAATGTATTATCCTGGCTCATTTTTACGCTTTTTGAATTATTCTACAGATCATATTTTCACAATCACATTATTGACCTGCACAATCGCAGAGTATCATCCCCATGGAAATAACCTGCTATCAGTAGGCCCTGTAACTAGATACTATACGGTAGGCCCTGTAACTAGATACTATACGGTAGGCCCTGTAACTAGATACTTTATGGTAGGCCCTGTAACTAGATACTATACGGTAGGTCCTGTAACTAGATACTATACAGTAGGCCCTGTAACTAGATACTATACTGTAGGCCCTGTTACTAGATACTATACGGTAGGCCCTGTGACTATAGATACTATACAGTAGGCCCTGTAACTAGATACTATACTGTAGGACCTGTAACTAGATACTATAATGTAGGCCCTGTAACTAGATGCTATACTGTAGGCCCTGTAACTAGATACTACAGGGTAGGCCCTGTAACTAGATACTATAATGTAGGCCCTGTAACTAGATACTACAGGGTAGGTCCTGTAACTAGATACTATACAGTAGGCCCTGTAACTAGATACTATACTGTAGGCCCTGTTACTAGATACTATACGGTAGGCCCTGTGACTATAGATACTATACAGTAGGCCCTGTAACTAGATACTATACTGTAGGACCTGTAACTAGATACTATAATGTAGGCCCTGTAACTAGATGCTATACTGTAGGCCCTGTAACTAGATACTACACGGTAGGCCCTGTAACTAGATACTATACTGCAGGACCTGTAACTAGATACTATACTGTAGGCCCTGTTACTAGATACTATACGGTAGGCCCTGTGACTATAGATACTATACAGTAGGCCCTGTAACTAGATACTATACTGGAGGCCCTGTTACTAGATACTATACGGTAGGCCCTGTAACTAAACACTATAAGGTAGGCCCTGTAACGAGATACTATACTGTAGGCCCTGTAACTAGATAATATACTGTAGGCCCTGTAACTAGATACTTGACTGTAGGCCCTGTAACTAGATACTATACGGTAGGCCCTGTAACTAGATACTATACTGCATGCCCTATAACTAGATACTATACTGTAGGCCCTGTAACTAGATACTATACGGTAGGCCCTGTAACTAGATACTATACGGTAGGCCCTGTAACTAGATACTATACTGTAGGCCCTGTAACTAGATACTATACTGTAGGCCCTGTAACTAGATACTATACTGTAGGCCCTGTAACTAGATACTATACTGTAGGCCCTGTAACTAGATACTATACTGTAGGCCCTGTAACTAGATACTATACTGTAGGCCCTGTAACTAGATACTATACTGTAGGCCCTGTAACTAGATACTATACTGTAGGCCCTGTAACTAGATACTATACTGTAGGCCCTGTAACTAGATACTATACTGTAGGCCCTGTAACTAGATACTATACTGTAGGCCCTGTAACTAGATACTATACTGTAGGCCCTGTAACTAGATACTATACTGTAGGCCCTGTAACTAGATACTATACTGTAGGCCCTGTAACTAGATACTATACTGTAGGCCCTGTAACTAGATACTATACTGTAGGCCCTGTAACTAGATACTATACTGTAGGCCCTGTAACTAGATACTATACTGTAGGCCCTGTAACTAGATACTATACTGTAGGCCCTGTAACTAGATACTATACTGTAGGCCCTGTAACTAGATACTATACTGTAGGCCCTGTAACTAGATACTATACTGTAGGCCCTGTAACTAGATACTATACTGTAGGCCCTGTAACTAGATACTATACTGTAGGCCCTGTAACTAGATACTATACTGTAGGCCCTGTAACTAGATACTATACTGTAGGCCCTGTAACTAGATACTATACTGTAGGCCCTGTAACTAGATACTATACTGTAGGCCCTGTAACTAGATACTATACTGTAGGCCCTGTAACTAGATACTATACTGTAGGCCCTGTAACTAGATACTATACTGTAGGCCCTGTAACTAGATACTATACTGTAGGCCCTGTAACTAGATACTATACTGTAGGCCCTGTAACTAGATACTATACTGTAGGCCCTGTAACTAGATACTATACTGTAGGCCCTGTAACTAGATACTATACTGTAGGCCCTGTAACTAGATACTATACTGTAGGCCCTGTAACTAGATACTATACTGTAGGCCCTGTAACTAGATACTATACTGTAGGCCCTGTAACTAGATACTATACTGTAGGCCCTGTAACTAGATACTATACTGTAGGCCCTGTAACTAGATACTATACTGTAGGCCCTGTAACTAGATACTATACTGTAGGCCCTGTAACTAGATACTATACTGTAGGCCCTGTAACTAGATACTATACTGTAGGCCCTGTAACTAGATACTATACTGTAGGCCCTGTAACTAGATACTATACTGTAGGCCCTGTAACTAGATACTATACTGTAGGCCCTGTAACTAGATACTATACTGTAGGCCCTGTAACTAGATACTATACTGTAGGCCCTGTAACTAGATACTATACTGTAGGCCCTGTAACTAGATACTATACTGTAGGCCCTGTAACTAGATACTATACTGTAGGCCCTGTAACTAGATACTATACTGTAGGCCCTGTAACTAGATACTATACTGTAGGCCCTGTAACTAGATACTATACTGTAGGCCCTGTAACTAGATACTATACTGTAGGCCCTGTAACTAGATACTATACTGTAGGCCCTGTAACTAGATACTATACTGTAGGCCCTGTAACTAGATACTATACTGTAGGCCCTGTAACTAGATACTATACTGTAGGCCCTGTAACTAGATACTATACTGTAGGCCCTGTAACTAGATACTATACTGTAGGCCCTGTAACTAGATACTATACTGTAGGCCCTGTAACTAGATACTATACTGTAGGCCCTGTAACTAGATACTATACTGTAGGCCCTGTAACTAGATACTATACGGTAGGCCCTGTAACTTAACACTATAAGGTAGGCCCTGTAACTAGATACTAACCGTAGACCCTGTAACTAGATACTATACTGATTCCCTGTAACTAGATACTATACTGTAGGCCCTGTAACTAGACACTATTATGTAGGCCCTGTAACTAGATACTATACGGTAGGCCCTGTAACTAGATACTATACGGTAGGCCCTGTAAATAGATACTATACTGTAGGCCCTGTAACTAGATACTATACTGTAATCCCTGTAACTAGATACTATACAGTAGGCCCTGTAACTAGATACTATATGGTAGGCCCTGTAATTAGATACTATACTGTGGGCCCTGTAACTAGATATTATACTGCAGGCCCTGTAAATAGATACTATACTGTAGGGCCTGTAACTAGATACCATACCGTAGGCCCTGTAATTAGATACTATACTGTAAGCCCTGTAACTAGATTCTATCCTGTAGGCCCTGTAACAAGATACTATACTGAAGGCCCTGTAACTAGATTCTATACTGTAGGCCCTGGAACTAGATACTATACGGTAGGTCTTGTAACTAGATACTATACGGTAGTCCCTGCCCCCAGATACTATACGGTAGGTTCTGTAACTAAATACTTTACAGGAGGCCCTGTAACTAGATACTATACTGTAGGCCCTGTAACAAGATACTTTACTGTAGGCCCTGTAACAAGATACTATACAGTAGGCCCTGTAACTAGATACTACAGGGTAGGCCTTGTAACTAGATAATATAATGTAGGCCTTGTAACTAGATACTAACCATAGACCCTTTAACTAGATACTATGCGGTATGCCCTGTAACTAGATAGTATACGGTAGGCCCTGTAACTAGATAGTATATGGTAGGCCCTATAGCTAGATACTATACGGTAGGCCTCGTAACTAGATACTATAATGTAGGCCCTGTAACTAGATACTAACCGTAGACCCTTTAACTAGATACTATACTGTAGGCCCTGTAACTAGATACTATAATGTAGGCCCTGTAACTAGATACTAACCGTAGACCCTTTAACTAGATACTATACTGTAGGCCCTGTAACTAGATACTATACTGTAGGCCCTGTAACTAGATACTACAGGGTAGGCCTTGTAACTAGATACTATAATGTAGGCCTTGTAACTAGATACTAACCGTAGACCCTTTAACTAGATACTATACGGTAAGCCCTGTAACTAGATACTATACGGTAGGCCCTGTAACTAGATACTATACGGTAGGCCTACAGTATAGTATCTAATTACAGGGCCTATGGTATAGTATCTAGATACAGGGACTACCCTATAGTACCTTGTTACAGGGCCTTCCGTATAATATCTAGTAGGCCCTGTAACTAGATACTTGATAGAAAGCCCTGTAACTAGATACTATACGGTAGGCCCTGTAACTAGATACTAACCGTAGACCCTGTAACTAGATACTATACTGAGTCCCTGTAACTAGATACTATACTGTAGGCCCTGTAACTAGATACTATAAGGTAGGCCCTGTAACTAGATACTATGCGGTAGGCACTGTAACTAGATACTATACGGTAGTCCCTGTAACTAGATATTATACGGTAGGCCCTGTAACAAGGTACTATAGGGTAGTCCCTGTATCTAGATACTATACCATAGGCCCTGTAATTAGATACTATAATGTAGGCCCTGTAACTAGATACTATACTGTAGGCCCTGTAACTAGATAATATATGGTAGGTCTTGTAAATAGATACTATACGGTAGGCCCTGTAATTAGATACTTTACGGTAGGCCCTGTAACTAGATACTACACTGTAGGCCCTGTAACTAGATATTATATGGTAGGCCCTGTAACTAGATACTATACGGTAGGCACTGTAACTAGATACTATACTGTAGGCCCTGTAACTAGATGCTATACTGTAGGCCCTGTAACTAGATACTATACGATAGGCCCTGTAACTAGATAATATACAGAAGGCCCTGTGACTATAGATACTATACGGTAGGCCCTGTAACTAGATACTATGTGTTAGGCCCTGTAACTAGATACTATACAGTAGGCGCTGTAACTAGATACATATACAGATATTACAAAACAGGGGGAATTATTTGCAATAAATGTACTAAATCTTTATGAGAACAATTTGCCTTAAAGGCCAAGTGAGCTTATGCCATGGTGCGGCGTCCGGCATCCGGCCAGCCATCCGTCGTCAACTTTTTACTTAAACAACTTCTACTGAAAAACCAAGAGGCCCAGGCTAATGATATTTGGCCAGTAGCATGCTGGGATGAATGGCTACCAAGTTTGTTCAAATAAATGAGCTTTGCCCATTTTCAAGGTCACAGGGGTCAAATATGTTAAAATCTTTAAACAACTTCTTCTGAATAACTTGAAGGCCCAGGATGATGATATTTGGCCATTAACATGCTGGGATGAAGCACTACCAAGCTTGTTCAAATGAATGACTGTCTCCCATATTCAAGGTCACAGGGGTTATTTGTCTTAAAAACACATAAATAAAACTTCTTCTGAATAACTAAAGTGTCCAGGGTGATTGCTTGTTCATGTGAATGACCTTGACACACTTTCTAGGTCACATCTTGTCCACAGTGCATAAATCTTAAAAGTCATCTTTTCAGTAAGCAAACGGCATAGGGCCATTAGGGTGGTGATATTTGACAAGTTGCATTCTGGGATGAAGGGCTATGAAGTTTGTTAAATTTAATGTCAGTATTTAACTTTCAAGGTCATAGGGGTCAAATGTGTTTAAATCGTTTAACATGTACTTCTGAATGACTTAAGTAAATTAACTGATATTTTGCCTGTAGCTTTATTTTAGTCCACTTTTAAGGTTACAATTGTGAGATTAATACCAGGTAAGCGATGCAGGCCCATTGGGCCTCTTGTTTAAATATTCAGGTAAGTGACTCGGCCCTTCAGGCCTCTTGGCTTTATAGGCTGTTATGAGACTAAAGAAGATTTTACTGGGATACTGACTTTTTCACAGGCTCTGATGAGACCAGGAAGGTTTGACAGACAGATACAAATTGACTTTCCAACAGTGGATGAGAGAGAGGAAATCTTCCATGTATATATGAAGAAGTTAAAGATGACAGCTGATTACAAGGAGCTTGCCCCTCGCCTGGCACAGCTCACCACTGGCATGAGCGGTAAGTCGAGACTTGTAAAGATCGTGATGTGTGGAGGCCTGGTGGTCAATTTATATCAACAAGTAAAGGATGAACAGAGAGTTATTACCCTCCTACCTTGAAGTTTGCCCAGAGATAAGGGACTCTAGATTGTTTGTGATACTTTTTCTTCTCTCAGCATCAGAAGTAGGTGGACAAAGCATGGCGGTTTACCTGCAGTATCAGTAACCTAGACTTTGTCTATATACATCAGATATGCAGATGATCTGTAAGAATTACCGTCTGTTTGTCTGTAGAATTTTTAGGTCACCTGAGCTTTGCTCAAGTGACCTATTCTAATCGCTCTTCGTCCGTCGTCGTCCGTCGTCCGTCGTGCGTAAACTTTTACATTTTCAACTTCTTCTCAAGAACCAGTGGATGGATTTTTTTCAAACTTGGTCAGAATCATCCTTGGTAGATGAGGCTTCAAAATTGTAAAATTGGGATTCCTACCCCAACCCCTGGGGCCAGGGC